TGCAGCGAGTAGATCATTGGATACTCCATTTCCACAGAATGCTGAGCGTGGTAACCAGACTGAAGCGGGTCGAGCAGAGAAATGGATTTGAAGAAGTCTGTCAATCTCGCATACACAACTCTTTCAAGGATCTTGGACACAAAAGGCAGTAGTGAGACAGGGCGGTAGCTGGACGGGAAGTTAAGGTTGGGCTTTTTTAGAATCGGGATTACAGTTGCATGTTTGAAGGGTGATGGAAATATGCCAGAGGAGAGGAGAGGAAGAGATTGAGAATTGTACTGAGAGACAGAGCAAGAGAAGGAGATAAAGTACAGATGAGATGCGAGGGAAAAGGATCAAGGGAGCAGGTGGTGCTATGAACCTAAACAAGAAAAAAGGGACACCTTTACAAATTACAGAACTCTGAGCAAAAACATTTTGTGCTCCCCATCCAAACACACACATAAATAACTAGCCACTAACAAATATTTAATTAGACATGGACATATAGAATTATCCATGAACAACTTGCCAATCACATCAACCTAATGAGAAACATCATCACACACTAGATACATAAATAGACCTCAATTTATACTGTCAGAAAAACGTTCCAAATGATCTATTTTTAAATATCCCCATACATGTTAATGGTGGCTTGTAGGTAAATGATGAATGAGCAGATATCTGAAGATGTCCAACTGGGACCTCATGTCAGGCTAGCTCCAGCAGAGATCCTCAGATCTCCCCAGCCTATTTGGGTCTGGCAGCCTTGAGTGCCATACATAGGTACTATAGGTTGCTGATCCCTGCCCTCATAGAGGTTGTATCTCTATAAGAAGATGCTGATTGGTTAGGATGGCTTTTGACCCTGTTCCAGGACTGCCTCCTTGGCTGATATCATCAGAATTGACAATCTCAGCCAATCAAAATACTTTGCTTTATGCTTTATTATGGAAAAGCATTGTGATTGGCTGAGATCGTCACTTATACTGATGTCAGCAAAGGAGACAGATCAGGGGCAGAGCCAGCACCAGAAGATTAGAATAAAGTTCAGATTTTACTGTTTTTAGGGGGCCGAAGAGGGGGAAGATATTGTTTTTAAAACTATTTGGTCAGGGATACATGTTTGTGTTCCTGACCCAATAGTGTTCCTTTGAGGTATTTTGTTAAAAATATCTTATAATTGAAAATTGGAATCTTGGTTTGATAAAGCAACACAGCTGCAGGCTTAAAAGTAAGGGGGTTACGTAAAACTGACCTCAATGTGACACAAACTTATTCCAGTAATCTGCAATCAAGGGGCACAATCACAACATGTGCATGATAGATCCCTTCTTTGGTACCTCCAGCAGACATGAGACAATAACATAATTTATTTTTAATAGGATACATGAATATTTTAACTGATGATAATATAATTCTAATAACTATTCTACGATTCAGTAAATATAACATATGGATTCAGAAAAGCAAACACATGGCAATATTCTTCAATGATCAAGTAATCACAACACAGAGTTTACCGAGTAAAAGCAAAGAAGCAAAGCCTAATCTTTCTAATTAAATTATTTAATTCAATACATACACAGCAAGTTTTGTTCACTAAAATGGAAGTTGGTAAGATAAATGCAACTTTAAGAAAAAATAAGTGAATTGTGGGCTTTCTACCTTAAATCTACAATTCTCATATTCCCAGTGAATAACCCTATATGATAAAAAAAGAACAGATATATTTTCTAGTTTTATAACAGGGGAGGTATTCCATATTAAGACCGAGATACATTGCCGCACGGACTATGTAGTTTATTTACTGCAATGTCCGTGCGGTAAACAATATGTTGGTAGAACTAAGAGACTCTTGAAAGTCCGGTTTATGGAACACATTAATAATATTAAAAAGAATTTGGCCACCCACTCTATTCCGGTTCACTGTAATCACTGTCCACTATTTTCTTTTAAAAGTTTTAAGTGCACTGGTATTGAAAGGGTAATAACTGATTGGAGAGGGGGTGATAGAGTAAAAAAATTATCACAACGTGAGACTTACTGGATCCATAGATTACAGACATTGGAACCAGGGGGATTGAATGTAGAAGTGGATTTAGTGTGTTTTTTATGATTGAAATTCACTATTAATATAAAATAATTTGAATACATTATTATATAAAAAAAACAAAAAAAAAAACATATATAATAAGTAATTAAATAATTGATGGACACAATATGTAGCTATTGATAAATTTATTGAAATTCATTATAAATTTAAATTATATACATAAATTATAATTTCACTAAAAATAGGGGAAGATTTATATTATAGCATAAAAATACATTAATTAATATGGTATATTGATAGTGGATTAAATACAGTGATTGGGAGGAATCTATGTGGTGTATAATAAAACAATTCCTGTATGAATTACATGGGTAATTTATTGTTAGTGATAGTGGAGTTGTGGAGTGGAAGTATTTATATGCATTTTTATGGCCAGACATTACAGATTACCAATGGAACGCATAAAAACGAGGTTGGAACGCATACCACTTCCGGTTTCGTCATCATAGTGGGAAAGCGCGGCACTTCCGTGCCGGGGATTGATGGAGGATTGTTCAACGAGTCTGAAGTCAGCTGTGAATGCTCGGAGGTTCGATCGGCAACAGATGATTTTCATTAACCCAGGACCAATGAGGAGAGATTAAGGAATACATGTGACTCAATTATATCGAGGGATTAGCCCTATTTAAAGGACTTTCGGGTGGGGGTTTGTTAGGCTGCTTTTTTGGATTGTATTGTATCAAATTGTATTTTAATATTTGTGGTCCCTGAGGAAGTCCCTATTTTGTTAAAGGGACGAAACGCGTAGGACCTTATTTATATTTATTTTATCTTTATATTTTTTAATATTGAATTAAAGCTGCTTTTTCAAACTTCACCCGGAGTCCTCCATATTTTCGGGGGAGGCACCTTACAAGCTTGAATCTGTCCACAATCTGTGAGTGCATTTCATATTGCGCAGTGTTCATATTGTAAACTGTATTACACTATATCTTTCTTTATTTATTTCTATTTAGATTAACAGCCGGTTCCCTCGCTGTGTTTTTTCCATATTTTGTTGTCAAGCTGATCGCTAGCTGGGAGCGATCAGAGGGAGGCTGTATTCATCTATATTCGATAAGTATCTTTGCATATATGCTGTATGTGTATAAGGTATAAGGTACATTATTGTTGGTTGTTTTGATATGATAAAATAATGTCTGATGAACAGACACACGACACATCCTGGTTTCACGTAAATACCTCTATCCACTAAATTACAGTTCCCACTGCCAAACAGATACATGCACACACACTCATACACATATATATGCTTATACACACAGGAACATAGTCAGGTTAACAGTATGGCCCTGTGTACGCTAAATTAAAGGATGATGAATGGAACAAGGCATTAGTGTAACCTCTAGGTGGCTGCCGTATTCTCAATCCAGCCATGATGCCACCCATATGTTACCTACACCCACAAACATAAACATGTACATCCACACACTTACACTAACATAGGCAGAGATCTGTATCCACGTACTTACATACACAGAGATATACAACCACACACACACATCCTTATACATAGATACAATCATCCCCCACATGTACCCTCTAGAACAGATACACATCCCGTCAATGTGTCACATCTCCCCAACTTTTCTCAATTCAGATAGTTAGAGACTAGCAAGTGTAACATAAAAAATCAATGGTTCTCAGATTAAGTCTGTTTTCTTTTCCCTAGTGCCAAAATATACAGAGCTATAGTCCCAATGCGCATAATAAAAATTCAAATATGCACCTCATGTGTGTTAGCAAACTCTAAACTCTATGGAAGAGATTTGATAAGGACACACATATTATTTGGGGTACCCCTGGATGTTTATTGTGAAAATCATTATGAGCTCTTTGGGGACTATACGCATTATGGAGCGTAATGTGTATTCTTCACGGTTTACTCCAGAACTACCCTTGAAGAATGTAATGGAGATGTTTGAAGAAGACTTGACGTGTCCCATATGCTACAGTCTTTTTGAAGACCATCCAAATGAGCTTTTGTTGGCACAGCTTTTGCAATAATTTTATCAGAATGGATCCTTAGAGGAAATTCTACAAATACAATAAATATGGGATAGAGACAAATATAACAAAATTAGAGCTGCCCCGAAAACAGCACTACAGAAAGAGCACAATGGTCTATCTCTGAATGTTATTTTTTTTTGTTCTATAGAAAGTAAACGTATCTGTTGGTTTTGTGCTACCAGTGGGAAAAATAAAGCGTGTGCATTTTATTCGATTGGTAATGCTTATATCAATGAGAAGAGTTCCCTGTCGGTCAACTTCAAGAACTTCCATTGTGATAGGACTTCCCACTTCAACTCACTGGAGGCAAATAAAAAAAAAAATTCTCCATTTGCTTTCTACAGATGCTGATATATGGAAAATCTGAAACACATACTGGAAGATAATTTTTTTTAAATACAAGGTTCTTGACAAATTTGAATTCATGAAGCTTGATGTGAGGCACAATTGTGATGAAATATAATCAAAAGGTATACTCTGCTTACTGAGCACAAAAACACTTTTTGAGAATCGCTAATGATAGTAGGGACAAATCACACCATCTTTTTTTCTAAAGCAAATGAAGGATTTGAATGAAAAAAAAATCAGTATCGTCAATGAAGGTCTGATGTGACAAATAGCCCTTCTTTTTTTTTTTATCAATTCTTTATTTTTGCATTGACAGACATTGAAGGTAAGAGCATTTTTGGCTTACGCAGAAGCCCATCTTTTCAAGTATGCTTTAGACATGGTACAGAAAAAGACTGGGTTGTTAGTATACATAATATACATTTTAGACTTGTTGCATGTGGGTTGCGTAGAGGCTGTTGTCATTTAGCTTTCGCCTGTCAAAGGTTATTTTTTTTTTTTTTTTGTGTACACAAAGAAAAACATATATACAAGCAAAACGATCAAGTGAACGTAGGTGTTAAATCCTAAATCTGCACGAGTGAGTAGCGGTCTGTGATTGGGTGCTCATTTGTCCTATGATTCTTCCTCATATTGTTCCCAAAGGGCCCATACCTTTTGAAATTTGGTGGTAGTGTTCCGAACGGTAGCTGTCATCTTGTCCATTAAGTAATTATCTCTGATTTTGGAAATTACTAATGAAAGTGGGGGTGTCTCTGGTTTTATCCAGTATTGTGCCAGTGCCCTACGAGCTGCTAGATTGAGCATATTCAGAAGTTTTTGGTCGTGTTTGTCTAGTCCGTTTGTCGGTCGTGATAATAGACATGCCCAGGGGTCTAGTGTTATTTGTCGGTGTAGGATTTTAGTGTGCATGGCCACTATCTTTTCCCAAAACTCCTTTACTTTAATACACTGCCACCACATGTGGATGTATGTGCCTTTTTCTCCACATAGTCGCCAACAGGTATCGGTGGGACAGAGTTGCATGTGTTGTTGCTTGACTGGTGTTGTATACCACCGAAGCATTATTTTATATGATTGCTCCTGTAAGGTCGTGCATATAGACACTTTCGTGTTCGCCTCCCATATGTCTTGCCACTCCGTTCCCTCCAGTGTTTCCCCCAAATCCGCTTCCCATTTGTCTGTGTATGTCTGCGGGCCCCACGTGCCTGATTCTAGGCATATGTGGTTGTAGGACAAATAGCCCTTCTAAGGAGAATGTTGATACCAACAAGTGGGATACCATTAAACCTGAAGATGTAGATAAACTCTGTTTGCAACCGATATGAATTCTTTCTCTGATGGTGTTTTTTTGAGCAACCTTCAATGACCGTAATCCAAAATGTAATTAATAGGAATGGTCAATGCAATCCTACATGTCGAACTTTACCAAAAAGGCAGCTCACCATATTTTTGCTTGATTATGGTCACATACACAAGCATCTTTACTGAGACAGCATGCAGGCTCTATGTTTGTGAGTATGATAATTACCCTCAACTTATTTCACTAAAGTGGATCTATACTATATTCTGTATATTCTGTTTCGTTTTACCCTGAGATAATCAGAGGAAAAGAGGGGGGGGAAAAAGTCACCATCATAATTACTACACCAACAAGGGGAGTGGTCGCCCCAAACGGACCAACAAGCAATACATACTGGAGCTAGGTTATAAAGGCTCTGGAAATTGTGAGTGTTAAATAGGCAATTCATGCACTTTTAACGGTTTTAAAAGATTTCACACAATTGCACTTTATGTCTTTGTTTACATGGATGTACGCTTGATTGAAGTTGCTCATAAGAGAAAATTCAGAAAAAGTGCTTTTTTGGGTGTATATATATATATGCATGGAATGTTTCTGACACTAAATTTATAGCGCTCCACTATTTTTTATAAATTTGTCACATACACAAGGTGTTAAACCATTTATCCCGTAGCCCATCAATGTGAGTTGATGCAGCATAAGAATTGTCTAAGAGAAGCATACTGTGTTTTTACATACACCACTGCAACTAATGATGACCAATGCATGTAAAGATTGTCTTGAGCACTGTCTTACCCTGCTGCTAATGTAATCACCTCTTTGACCACCATGTAAACTCCTTATAATCTGGCAGCCTAGGAGGTCCCAGTGGGTAAGTTCAGCCCTCGAGAGTTTAGAGAAAACTAACCAGTCATAAAAGTTTCATACTTACTCTTTAAAGCATTTGGATGATAGGACATTTAATTAGGGGAGTGATGGCTAACCTTGACACCATAAATTGTTTCTGGACTACATGTCCCATGATGCTCAGCTAGCTTTTAGAGTCTAAAAGCTAGCTGAGCTTCATGGGAAATGTAGTCCAGAAACATCTGATGGTGTCAAGGTTAGCCATCACTGAATTAGGGCAATGGATGATGCTGCGAGATTGCAGTGCACTATCCTCTACATGCCAGTGGACATAGTCACCCTGATCCCCTTGACAAAGTCTCCCTGGGTTCTACTGTATGTTATCGTTAATTTGAGCCATGAGTCATATATTCAGTAACATAGAATGTATCAAGGTGTGTGCATGTGTCACTGAGTTAATAGTGTGTGTAAATAGTTGCAATATGTTGTTAATTAGTTGTATTCCATCATAATAAAATGTCACGTCCTTGTTCATACATGTTTGGTGGCTGTTTGTGTGTGTGTGGTGGGGGTGAAGGGGTTCCGTGGCTGGTGAAGTCACCTAGCTCAAATTTATTTTACACGTTGTGATGTCTGGCTTTAGTAGTGGCTAGAATTAAATCAATCTAATTGAAGGAAGCAGAGTGGTCAACTACTGACATGTAGACAGGTATAACCATAGCCAAGTCCTGGTCAGGATTATGGAGGTCAAAACAAATCTTAAAAACAAGTCGTTGGTCAATACAGTCAGCAGACCGAACATACCTTGGTCAGAGTAAATGAATGAAAAGTGACACAATGGGGGGAGAATTATCAAAGTAACACTTAAACTGTTCCACCTAAAATTTCTCAGAAAAGCCCCACCCTGGCTGCACCCCTAATATTACAATGTCCCTCTTTGTTCATTTGAAACATTGGGGAGAATGGATATATACCGGTGAAACATAAACTACCAGCTTGACCATATATATTGGCAAGAAATTTCACAATTTAATATTAAACTGTTGGACTAACGTAGTACTCCAACAAACCAGCTTCTTTCTAATTCTTAGCCCACATAAAGCAAGCTAATATTACTATTTATGGACACAAAAAAAACAGCTAAGAAGTTACAACTATATCAGTGCAATATCAATGTACTCAGCAGCACAGTTAGGGATGTTGAAAAAATAGACCCAAAATATGTTGAATTCAGCCATTCCATTTCCTCTTTTTGTTGATCCTGAAAAAAATGCAAACAAAACCCCATTGAAGAATTCAAATTCCTTCCTGACTCAATCGCGACGGTAAGATTATTCCATGGATCAAAAGCCTCAATCAAATTAAATTAGTATAACAGGATACGTTTCTCTTTGCCAAAAACAAAAAAACCAATTCTTTCTAAAAAAATTTCACTATATCTTTCATCACCATTTCCCTTGGTAATGCATTCCTTAACTTCACTCCCTTATATGTAAAGAATCCCCTGCTAAATCTGAAAAAATCCCTTTCCTCTAATCTTAAAATGATGGATCCTTATTGGCTTTGTTTATTTAACGAATATTTCCTTTGCGATATACTTGTGTTGATTTTGAATACAGGGAGTGCAGAATTATTAGGCAAATGAGTATTTAGACCACATCATCCTCTTTATGCATGTTGTCTTACTCCAAGCTGTATAGGCTCGAAAGCCTACTACCAATTAAGCATATTAGGTGATGTGCATCTCTGTAATGAGAAGGGGTGTGGTCTAATGACATCAACACCCTATATCAGGTGTGCATAATTATTAGGCAACTTCCTTTCCTTTGGCAAAATGGGTCAAAAGAAGGACTTGACAGGCTCAGAAAAGTCAAAAATAGTGAGATATCTTGCAGAGGGATGCAGCACTCTTAAAATTGCAAAGCTTCTGAAGCGTGATCATCGAACAATCAAGCGTTTCATTCAAAATAGTCAACAGGGTCGCAAGAAGCGTGTGGAAAAACCAAGGCGCAAAATAACTGCCCATGAACTGAGAAAAGTCAAGCGTGCAGCTGCCACGATGCCACTTGCCACCAGTTTGGCCATATTTTCAGAGCTGCAACATCACTGGAGTGCCCAAAAGCACAAGGTGTGCAATACTCAGAGACATGGCCAAGGTAAGAAAGGCTGAAAGACGACCACCACTGAACAAGACACACAAGCTGAAACGTCAAGACTGGGCCAAGAAATATCTCAAGACTGATTTTTCTAAGGTTTTATGGACTGATGAAATGAGAGTGAGTCTTGATGGGCCAGATGGATGGGCCCGTGGCTGGATTGGTAAAGGGCAGAGAGCTCCAGTCCGACTCAGACGCCAGCAAGGTGGAGGTGGAGTACTGGTTTGGGCTGGTATCATCAAAGATGAGCTTGTGGGGCCTTTTCGGGTTGAGGATGGAGTCAAGCTCAACTCCCAGTCCTACTGCCAGTTCTTGGAAGACACCTTCTTCAAGCAGTGGTACAGAAAGAAGTCTGCATCCTTCAAGAAAAACATGATTTTCATGCAGGACAATGCTCCATCACACGCGTCCAAGTACTCCACAGCGTGGCTGGCAAGAAAGGGTATAAAAGAAGAAAATCTAATGACATGGCCTCCTTGTTCACCTGATCTGAACCCCATTGAGAACCTGTGGTCCATCATCAAATGTGAGATTTACAAGGAGGGAAAACAGTACACCTCTCTGAACAGTGTCTGGGAGGCTGTGGTTGCTGCTGCACGCAATGTTGATGGTGAACAGATCAAAACACTGACAGAATCCATGGATGGCAGGCTTTTGAGTGTCCTTGCAAAGAAAGGCTATATTGGTCACTGCTATATTGGTCACTGATTTGTTTTTGTTTTGTTTTTGAATGTCAGAAATGTATATTTGTGAATGTTGAGATGTTATATTGGTTTCACTGGTAATAATAAATAATTGAAATGGGTATATATTTGTTTTTGTTAAGTTGCCTAATAATTATGCACAGTAATAGTCACCTGCACACACAGATATCCCCCTAACATAGCTATAACTAAAACAAACTAAAAACTACTTCCAAAAATATTCAGCTTTGATATTAATGAGTTTTTTGGGTTCATTGAGAACATGGTTGTTGTTCAATAATAAAATTAATCCTCAAAAATACAACTTGCCTAATAATTCTGCACTCCCTGTATACTAGTAAGCAATAATCCTCATTTCCAGAATGAACTAACTAGTTCATTGCTGATTTCATTAATATCAGTTATACTTTTTATACCTAATAAAATGATGACAGCTTTCACAACTGCCTCTTGACACTGTGCACTGTAATGCCTTCTAAAGTCAAAGATCAGAGTAGTTCTACTAAATAATACTCTATTGTTGTCTAAACTTTGCTACAAAACTGTGCAGTTAAAGTGACACAATAGCAAGGAAAACAAACCTGTATTCCTAAAGCTATTGTGTCCATGTCCCGATATTTTCACAGGTACCCCAACCCTGTAATAAAAATGCAAAAAAAAAAATGAAAGCTTTACTTACCTTTTTATAGCACCAAGGCTGCCTAAGTGACGCTTACCTCTCCTCCTCCTCATAAAGGAGCGCTTGGAGCCTAATGCGCATGCACGGCAGCATGCACACATTCAAGCTTCACCGTAGGAAAGCATTGAATCATTGCATTCCTATAATAGCCACTGAAGGTCGATTTAACCCTGCAATGTGCCAATCAAATCCTCTGTAGGAGCAACATTTGATAGAGAACCAAGTCTGACTCTGTTTTCACAGAGGAAGACAGCTACTAGAGGTGTGTTTAAACCTGCGATGGAAACATAGCTGTTTTTACAAAACTACAATGTTTTACATTGCAGGATTAAACCTAATGGACCACTGCACCTTGTCCACTTCATTGAGATGAAGGCGTCTAGATGATTTTAATAAATGTTGTAACTGAAATCCCCTAAAGTAAGAAGACCCTCAATGCTTTTGAACGGCACCAGATAGTTTGTTTTTCCGCTACAATAACCACTTAGTAACATAGTATTACCTTCCTACAGTCCATAATGAATGCGCAGCCATGCTTCTTTCTCCTGTCGTTGCTCTCAAACGTCACCCCTCTGCCAATCATTACATTGACTTCATGTACCCTATAGGATTCAGTTCAAAATATTAAGCCTTACCTACAGATTTCTCAATAACTCTTACCCCCTACTCTCAATTCTCCCCCCC